GGTTTGGGGGGGTGGGGAGTCTCACCTTCCTGCTTTAAGCCCTGACTTTGTCTGCATAACAGAGTCGGCACAGATAGTTCACTGCCTTCTGTGGATTGTAAATTCTTTTTTTCTTGCCTGTCAGAGTGGCAATGCAAGCACTAAACTCAGGACATTCAGACAGGCACCCTTCCTCCTCCCTACCACCTCCCCTTCCATCCCTAACTTAACAACCTATCAATCAAACCACAGGCAAGAGAACTGGCAGGAGCCAGAAGGCTCTGTCTTGTTTATTCCTCAACAACCCTCCTGCCCCCATCTCTTCAGCTGGCAGGAAGTATGAGGCAGGAGTGTTTAATAACAATTCAGGGCAGCAGTAGTTGCTAAGAGCCATCTCTGGTCTCTCCTAGAACTCTGGGAAACAGCACAGTAAGCCCTGCCAGCGGGAGGTGTGGTGGAGCAAAAGTGAGGATCCCCTGAAGGGAAATCCACATCCTTGGCTGATAGAAAATTAACTCAGCCATAGCCTAAGATACCCACCTTGACGAGCCAGAAGGTCCTGAGGTAATTTAAATATTCAAATCTCCCTCATGGACTAGTGGTAGACTTGTGACAGTTCTATTCTACACCACAAGCTCCATTTGTCTGCTCTGCTATTTCCAAGGCGGGTGGGGATGGGGGAAGACTACAGTCAAGACACTTTCCAAATATTATGAGTTTTCCCTCTTCATGACAGTTCCCAGCTCAGAGTATGTAATTCCTAGATTATATAAAAACATCTGTGTTGCTGTTTTGGTTCTGTTGGTTGTCCCCACATGGAAGGAACATTGCAAACCAGTTAAGCCACCGGCAAGCTCATATCTCAGAGAGCAAATCTGAAAGAAGTTTTTAAAGACTTGGCTGATAAGCTGTCATACTAATCATTAAATACATGAGCACCTATTATGCCCCAAATCCTGGGGTCTGTGTTTCTCAAAATCTGCTCAACTGCAAGATTCCTGGCCTTCTTTTTCCTTAAGTCTTTCCCTCCTCCCATTCTAGAAACTCTCTCCCTGCAGTGTTTTCATATCCTAGCAACTTCCAAACATTTATTTAAATAATTATTTATTTCAGTGGTCAAAGGCTTTATATAAAAGCACCCCCACCACCAGACTGTTCAAAAGGGTTGGGGGAACAGGCAAAGGAACTGAGAAAACAGGTTCTTGCTTACAGTAACATCAAACTGCACAACAAATGTTATTTCTAAAAGTACCTCCCAGCAATTTTATCTTTCTTCCACACTCTGAAACAGTCTCTCCCCATTCCCTCTCTCATTCCATTGGCCCACTCTTAGTCTCCTAGGGAAACAAGGCTTATAACACAGCTACATTATTAAGGGGCAAACTCCCCTGGCCCCAAGGTGTATTCTTAGCAGAATGTACTGCATCTTTCAGCTCAATTATAACCTGAAGGGCTGCCACCCAACCAGTCTCCGCACCTCTAAGAGAAAATGGGTTCCATTTGCTTCTCTGTTGGAGACTACCACGGACATTTAGAATTAAATCCAACATGAAGCTAAGCATCATTAATCCTTTCACCCACAGGCTACCACTGGGCTTAGAAGATTGCAATGTGAGGCAAGAGTTCTAAACACAAAGGAGGCAAGAGTTCTAAACACAAAGGAAAATGAAGGCCACTCTCCGAAGTGGCTGCTTTTCAGCACAGGAAGAACATGGATATATGGCAAGAGTTTCCTGAAGCCAGATGTAGGGAACAGCCTAATGGGCCTGGAACAGAAGCAGGAACTGCTGGTGCTCCTAGGCCTCTTTAAAACAGTATTATCCATCTGCACCCCAGAGAAAACGGCAAACTGCAGCCAGCACAGCAAAAGCCCTGCCAGTAACCAGCTGGAACTTGACTCTGCTGAGGTGGACTATAGCATCTGCCACCTCAACACAGGCAGCCTCTCTGGCAGCTGCCACCGGTAAAAGGGAATGAACTGTTGTTATTAGTGGAAGAAAATTCACAGTCCTGTTACCAGGGAAGCCCAGATGTTGCTCAGAGCTACAGATGTGCCATAGGCAAAGACCAAAATATCTTCAGCAAAAAAAGCGGAAGCTACCACTGGAATCCAGGCACTGAGAGGGCACCACCACCCAAGCATACACATCCAATTTTTTAACACTTACATATGGAAATAGGTATTCCCTGTTGTAGCTGATGTAATTACAGAGAAATCAATTTATACTGCATCTGCTGGGATCAGCTGAAAGCACAGGGTGAGCAGAACACAGAGCGGAGAATCAAGAGCCAATGAACAGCTCATTACCAGGTCAGCTGCTCTGCAGGAAATTGTAAGCTGCTGAAGTTCAAGACAGCCTGAGCTGACCCTAGACTCACACCTACTCTGCTCCAGCCCTGCAAGCTCCATTTCCTGAGACATGAACTAAGATCATCTTCCCAGAGGAGAGCCCCTCCTGGGGCTGCAGGCACCTGTCCTTCCAAGTCAGGCAGAAGGCATGGTATCATTACACTGTTTGGCATCTATTACACTACCAAGAGACTCTGATTCCCAATAGCTGAAGGAGCTACCTGGCCAAGAACTTTCCCTTTAGTGGCCAAAGAATCTTTTTCAAGGCGAAACTTTCATAGCCATGACACAAACTCATAAGGCCTGATTAGGTAAGTAGCTCATAGTACAGTCTGTACCTCCTGCCCCCTTGTTTACCTGCCTCAATTGTGCCCTTGTGCTCTTTGGTAACCACCAGTAGAACACTTGGTAGACATCATGCCATGAAACTTACTTGAATGCTTTTCTCCCCCAGAGACCCAGCAGCACCATTTATCCCATTAAGAATAGCACTCAACTGAAAGCCTATTTATCAATGACTCTGAGAATGAAATGCCAGTCAAGCTGGGACCCACACAAAGGCTGTTGCCAGTCTCCAGCAACAAGTATCTGAGGTGGGACAAGAACAAGTAGTCGCTCTCAACAACAAGTGTTCTTCCCTGAAATGTTCCGGCCTGCTGTCAAGGAATCTGTAGGGAATCTCGATTTGAAACAAAACCACATCATTACCAGTTGCTCTGACCTTGTAATTGGTCATTACCCACAAACTAATGAGCCTCCCACAGAGCGCACAGATCATTTGGCAGTTAGTCCAGGGCAGTTCCGGCGGGCAGTGGGCAGCCAGACCCAGCCACCTCTTACCTTTTCAGACTTGACTTTCTTTAGCGGGCGACACTCATTCTCCCCTTCCTCTGGCTCCGGCTTAGCTCCCAAAGGATTGAGCGCAGCCCCAGGTTCAATAGCTATACTCCCAAGTGGCTCAACAGTTCCTGTGTCCACCCCTGCACTTCCATCGTACTGACCACCCCGTGCTCCCAAGGGGACTGGCTGGAGGACCCCCGGATCTTTTTCTGAACACGTCCCCACTCCTTCGCTTCTCTCCTTCTTGCTCTTAGACGAGCTGTTCTCCTTCTCCTTTTTGGAGCCGGCTACACTGCGGGATGCCTTAGTCGCCTTCTCTGAGCCCTTGGGAGCAATAGCAGCAACCAGGCCCCCTGCATTGGCACCGTCTCCTGAGCGTCCCTGCACCTCTTTCTTGCTAGCGGCCCCGTCACTTGGCGTGAACAGGGAAGTCCCTGGAGTGGGTTTGCTAGTGTCTTTGCCACTCTTATTCCTTTTGGATTTTGATTTGCCTTCCTTCCCTTGAGGACCTGGCACTGGGGTCACAAACTTGATGTTGTCTGGTAGTGTGGCCACAGCATTGGGAGCCGGTATCCCCGCCTCCTTTGAGCCTGACATTTCCAGTTTCTGCTGGTCCTTTTCCAGATCGGCGTCCAGGTCAATGATGAGATTCCCTACTCCAATGTCCCATTCATCCCCACTGTCGTATGTCTCAACCGGGTTTGCATCCACTCCTTTCCCTCCGGAGGATCCACTGCTCAAGGACATCTTAGAGTCAACGTCCCACCTCAAGATTCAAGGCTCTTCCTTGCCCCAGCTTTCCTATTTTCAGCTTCAGCTATGTTCTCAGACCTGCCACATTGGTCAGTACATGCCCAGTGGACAACATCATTGCTGGAAAAAGAAAATTTAAAGAGCTGTTAAAGGAAACAATACAGGCAAGGAGACAGCCTGAAACAAACTCCCACACAAACCAGACCCTTCCTAGGGGGCTATCATATCACAGTGGACAAGACAAACAAGTTTAATTGTATTTCTAACCAAGTCACATTGGACCAAGGGAAAAGTTAATTCCCACTCCATCTCCCCAGGGAAGAGTGTATATATCTCCAACTGCCCGGAGATTCTGTGGTAAATCTTAACTAGGAATCCTCTACAGTTAGTTTCCCATTACCAAGAGACTTATTTCTACCACTGCCAGTTGGCAATCCTCCCTCAATCAATACAGGCCCTGGCATATCAGATTCAAGTTCTAGCACAACTTTACTCACACCCATTTCTCCTTGCTACTTCTTATCAGAACGTAGATTAGCCAAAGGCTTTAAAAGTCTTCTACTGGACCAGCCGACTGGCGCATTGGTTAAGAACTGGCTTGGGACACCAGCTCTGAACAGCAGGGCCCCGGTTTGGATCCCACATTAGGGCCAGTGACGCTGCAACCTCTACAGCTAAGATGATGAACAACAACAGCTCGAGCTGGGCTGCTGTGAGTCGCCGGCGACGGCGTAGGCTGCAGCGGGGCTGCAGTGGGCTGCCATGAGCTGCGTGAGTGGCCAGCAGCCTTCGTGAGAGGCCGGCAGCCGGTATGAGTTGCCGGGAGCCACTGTGAGCGGCTGACTACTGACCGGCGACCGATTGCCTCATCCGGGAAGAGCACAATGATCATACCAACATGGGCCAGTGAAGCGACGTCCTCCACAACTAGACTGAAGAACAAAAACAGCAATTTGTCTACCTCTCTGTTCCCCTTCCCCGATTCCCCAATGCTGTTCCCCTCCCCTCAATTCCCCAATAAAATCTTTAAAAAACAAAAAAAAAAAGAAAGAAAATAAAAGTCCTCTACTAACAAGGTATGTCCCTACTAAAAATAATAAACATTCTTTGTCATTCTACTGTTGGGGGGGGCATCTAATTATGGGCAAATACAAATAAAAGAGAAAAACAAGAAGAACTGGGACAAATACAGCAGGATAGGGAGCAAAAATTGCAACTAGAGGAAATATTGTCAGAAAGGCCTCAACAGATCAGCTTAAATTCAATTAAATCTGCCTTATTAAACTTCAGGTTTCAAATTACATCCAAATAGAATTCAATCTGGCCTTTCTCACTTCCCACTAAAATGTCTATGAAGACATAAACACACACACACACACACACACACACACACACACACACACACACACAAATACTTTACCCTATCAAAATAAACTACTAAAAAATATTACTGACCACAACTAGACTGAAGAACAAAAGGACAGCAACTTGTCTGTTCCCCTTTCCCGATTCCCCAATATTGTTCCCCTCCCCCAATTCCCCAATAAAATCTTAAAAAAAAAAAAAACTACTACTGAGAAATCTAACACCAGAATGTTGGATAACTCTACATTTTTTATGGCACTGCATTGATAAATACCAGGGCCTTATCACATGAAATAGAGACTAGCTAAAAAAAAGGGGGTTGGCGGTGGGGAAAAGGCAATTTATATCTCTCCAGTCTCCTGACTCATGAGACCTAGGGATAGTGTACCATCTAGAAAAGCCTCGCAGTCAACATACACCATCCTGGTATTACTTTATGACAAAACCAAAGAGTTCTGTTCTGCTCACTGCCCTGCCCACCATCTTCCTATATCCATTTAGAAAAGAACTCGCAAAAGATAACAGAACAGAAAAAGCAAACCAGTGGTGGCACAGTGAATCCTACAAAGTAGATTCCTAACAGGTAAATGCTACAGATAGAACAGAGACAAAACAAATTGTACTTTTCACTTACTCTCTCAACAGTATCAAAAGACCAGGGTGCAGTTACAAGAAAAGATGTCATCCTAGGAAAGCAGAGCTGTACCAAGTGGATGCCTGATAGCAACTAGGATTTGAGACAGAACGGTGTGCACATTAATCTGCCATTTAGCTGTAGCTCTGAGAAGAAAATACATCCTTTACCCAAAAAGGGAGCTTGGTACCAACAGCAACCAGCCACTGCTGGCATCAAGTCTACATAAATCTTACTTCATAAAAAGCAAAAAGCGCGTGTGTGTGGGGGGTGTGGGGGGAGCGGGCTGGGGGATGGGACATGATGCTGGAACTCTGTAAAAATGCTACCCATAAGGTAAAGAAAACAAAATCCTTGAAGAGTCAGAGAAATGATACCTCTGATAATGATCCAGAATTCTGAAGAAATTTTTAGTATAATGTTTGGAATTCTCAATACTACACAAGACTTGGCCTCCACAAAACAATCAAGTACGTTATCTGTTCATTCATTCAAAAAAATTTGTATTCATTGCCTACTATGTGCCAGGCACCAAACTAGGTTCTGGGAATACAGCAGTAAGTAAGACAGTGAATAACACAGTGAAACATGGTACTCAAAAATAATTCTATTATGGGGGGGCCAAGAGCATTTCCAGAACAGGGAATGCCAGCCAATTGAATCTGCACTACAGAAGATTATTAAAGCAAAGTTCTTCCCAACATCATAATTTATCACATCTGCAATCTTTGCAATTGTGGTTAGGCTTAGAACATAACCCACAGTCATCTAAAGCTCACCCACCTACTTCCCTCCAGAGATGCGCTGTCATCAGTATTTGATTTAACCATTAAAACAACCCCATGCTTGTTTATCCTTGGAAAAACAATTAAACTTTCAAAAGACCTTCCTCTTCAAAAATAAAACAAAACTTCCTCTAGAAAACAGGATGGCAATGGAAGAGAGGCTCTGGAGGTGTGTATAAAGGAAAGAATATAAAGTACATAAAAATGTTAGTGCTCACTGAGAGATTCTGATAGTTTTCCACTGTACTGGCTGACCTGTCATGTGGAGATAGAAAGAAATCCTACCTTTCTTTACGGAAGGACAAAAATTGGGCCAACCTCATAATGCTCTGCAATAACAAATGTTAAAAGAGAATGAAAAATACTGAATTTTCGGGAGAAAAGGTTGTTAGTCAGGAATCACACTGAATCAAGTTGTTTGTTATGTGTAAAAGCAATAGATTTTCAGTTATGCAAAAACACATATATATCCACCTTGTTAAAAACTATCCGAAGCACTAAAATCAGTTCAATGTAGCATAAATTCGAACACATACCAACTGAATTTTGTAATATGATGAGTAACCTCAATGTAGATATTTAAAAAATCATTCCTAAAAAGGATATGAGGCAAAATCAATGATTATAATAATGTAGAACCTCAGAAAGTTCAGCCTTAATACCAGTAAGGGGAAATACTTCATTTCTTCTTGTCCCAACTCCATATGTCATGGAAAACTGTTTTGTTTTTTTCTAATAAGCAAGAAATACTGTCATAACATTTTTAAAAAATTGTGCTTCTTCTCAAAAGGGAGCTGGAGAAAAAAACATCTAATGGCCTGTGCTTATTTCTAGGTTCCACATCTTAAGTGAGATATTCATGCATTAAATGGAGGGATGTCCAGAAGAGTATAGTCAAAGAACAAGAAGTCATTTCATAAGAGAAAAGGTCTTAGAAACTGGTATTCTTTAGAAAGGAGAATACTGAAGGGAAACAGGCTGGGTAGCTTTAAACATATGATGATTGTAATGTGGAAGAGAGAAATGTGTTCTGTGATGCTGAGGGTAGAAACAGGACCTGTACGTAGAAGTTACAGAAAGACAGATGTTTAACTAGGGGAAAAAATTTAATAACTTGAGATTTCTAACAATGGCTCACCAAGCTTAATGAAGGCATATCTTTATCACTGAAAGTAGTAAGCAGAAAAAGCATAATCGCCTGCTAATCAAATTACATAATGAATTCCTCTATGTGTGGTAGGGAGTAGTCTGGACATGCCTAGGGACTTTTTCAAATCTATAATTCTATTAATGTAGCTATGAAAATAGTACTTTCCCTGTTAGAAAAACTACCCAGAATTTCTGAATGACTAGGATATGAAGAATACATATTATGAGGACTGCTCTTTAGTGGTACTGATGTTCTTTAGAGAGCCACTGTCTTACTAATATTTTTGAGGATGTTAAGAGTTTTCATAAGTACTACTTTTCAACCAGGTGACTTTTCGGAAATCCAGCTTTCCAAACCCAGCAGGCTTCACAGTAGTAACTCTGGTGGTATATTTCCAAAGATGCACTGTAAAATCGCCAAGGATTCTTTAATCAGCCTGGCTGCAGCAGCCAAACCACTTCCCATCTGCTCCCTACAGCATCCCTGGCTTTATACAGCTAATCATCAACTCTCTGACAGGTCATTGCAGAGATGTTTAACCCCAGGAGGCAGGGCAGCTAACATGCTAGCTGGAAATGAAAAGCACTGACCTCTTGCTTCCATGGCAGTGAAAATGCACAATCAGGAGAAGCAATACCTTACAGAGAACACAAAGCACTTTCAACTTGAAAGAGCTTCTGTAAATATTTTCCTCCCTCTTCTCTCTTCTGCCTAATTGTACGCCACCACTTTCCTATTTAGGACCACAATTCACCAGACTCTGGAATTCCTTGTCAGTACCATTTGTGCTTTGTTCCTGCACTTGATTGCCTCTCTGCGGGGACCAAGATAGGTCATGACAATCACTCCCTCCCCCATATCCTGTACCTATAACAACAGGAGTTCACATCCCAGTTTCTTCTCTGGAACCCAACTCCATCTCTCAGACTCCCAGCCCACAGACTGGCTTGTATCACACATTTCAGGTATTAACAGCTTTTTTAGGGCACATGCCATAGATCACACTACTCAAGAATGAACAAGGCCTTGGCGAAGAATGCGAAAAGAAGTCCTCATGTGAGGTCTCTGCCCCTGCCCGGCGGACATAAGCAGCAACTGACCTTATTTATGTCCAAACATAATGAGAACAGTACTTCTCTTTCCACCCAAATAAAGCTCTGTACCCATCCTAGAGGGCTTCAAAGAGAGAATCTTTAATTGCCAGCTACCCACAAATAATCTGGTCTAAGTAGCTATTGTCCAATGCTGTTCTACTGTAAATTTATCTGTCATCCCCTATCCTTATGGGTTTTGAATCGATTTTCTTATAGGCTCTGATCTGAACAAGTAACAGTGTGTGTGAGTGTGTATAATCTGCTTGGGACCACACAGGTCACACACATTTGGATGTGAGGATGATCTGTCTGGCTAGGTAGTTCCCTCCAAAAGCTGTAAGCACGGACAAACAAACAAACAATGCTATACTCAATTCTAGGAATGTAGCACAGTGCAGGAAAAAGAGAACAGAACTTACAATCAAAAGATGTGATTTCTGGCCTCAAATTTCCACTGACCCCAGTCAGATCGCTAGCCAAGTTGCTTCATTAAATATTAATTTTTTCATTATAAAATGGAAGGAGAATCCATCATGGTTCTAAGCATATTATGAGGGTACAAATCTGAAAAACATAAGACAATTCAAAAATACAGTGACCCAAATATTCTCATAGAGTTCTGGTGTCTGAACTTAAAGAGGGCTGTTTCAAGATACCTTGAGTACCTAAGGTATTTAAAAAAATAAAGATGTTTAAAATTTTTTTTTTTTACAAATTAAATTACAGGTAGTACCAATATCCATTTCAGGTCTACGAAAGAAAATGACAATCCTTTCTTGTCCCATAAACTTAGTGTTCTGGGTTTTCCCTTTCTGGTACTCCTACCTCAGATGTGGCTCATAAAACCCTACACTACAGTGTCGGACAAAGAAGACTCCATCTTGCTTCAAAAATCCCTCAGGGCCAAGGCACCAATGTCAAGGCTCATGGTTTTAACATCTGGACTGTCTCTTCACCAACTGTTCCAATCCAAAAGACTGCTGAACTCACTGACAGGACAGGCCTTCAAATCTAAATTGTGTGAACAGGTTCCTAGGGTTTGATGCCCCAGGGCACTCTCAATAAACCAATGAGATACAGCAAGGTTGCTAGAATAAAACCATATCATACCATCTTCCCTCAATTCCAGATGCTACTTTGAAATCACTTCATACTTAGCCAACCTCAGTTGAGGCTAGTACAACATGTAAACCATCCTCGTGACTTACCCAGCTGGAAGAAAAGGCATCTCCTTTCCCACCTGCTACACTTCATAGAAGCTCACTAATCAACTCGATTTCCACCTAGGGCTCTAATGAGAAACAATCAAGTTTCCTTTGGGTCTCTCCTTTAATTTATTACATTAATTACTGTAACAAAGGAACTGTGTCATCTCCTCAAGTACCACAGCTCTCTGCTTATATCTCCAATGGGGATCAGATAAAGAACAGACTAACAGTGCCAATTTGAGAAGACGGATCCAATTCAACAGGGCTCATCTGACAACGTGTCACCTAAGGACATAAAAGTGTAGCATCCTTCAGTCCCTGCGTGTTTATATGCTGCATCTCATGAATAGTTTTATGGCCCTCACAGGCTGCTATGCTCAAAGATTATGCGGCTTGACCTGTTTTATTTCACATAATCAACTGACACTTCCACAAGGACATAGCTATTCAACAACAAAAAAATGTTCAGGCTTAGAGCTTTGGTGTTTGTCGATACTGCTCTGTGCCAGCATACATCTCACAACAGGCTAAACAGCATACTGAATATGTAAATAATTCAATCCCAACCCTACAGGGATTCATTTGGTGGAACTAGTACACAGAGAAAACCCTTACCAAGGCCTATGTGTAAGTAGGCCAAGAAGCAGAAGGGGAAGACCATCTAAAGCAAATAAAGAAAGCTCTACCATCCCCCCTCCCCTAATAATGAGGGTCATGTAGCCATTTATAATTTAGTTCTTATTCCCAGAGGTAAACTTTCTGTGCTAAAGACAAAGAGGTGATGTCAAATTCTCAGAAAAAATTAAATAGTGAAAATAGCTAGAAATCAGGAGATCTAAGAAATTGACCTTCCACACCGAGTCATTGTGTCAAAGCTTTTCTGTATCTCAATCTCCTCATGTCTAAAACAGGGAATAATATGGGTCAAGTTCACAGGCATAAGGGAAATAAAAAACGAAGCATTTTTCAGGAAATACAGAAACTGCCTTCATTTTTTATATTCTAGACCTCACCTCCCTTCCTAAATCTTACACAAGAACTGCTATTCTATAACTCTAAAAAGAAAACCTCTCTATCAAAAGATATCTACGTTGTTGGACTAGAAAAAAATGGTGGACTCCATATGCGCATCCTTAAGGATCTCTCAACCATGTCTCCTTCTCCAGCCTTGTCTCATGACCACGTTCTGCCCTCTGCAGCCCACTCCCACCTTACTGCCTCATGGCTTTTACCTGAGAGACACTGCCTGTGTACATGCTACTTCTCAACGTGTGCGATGATCTGATTAACATTTGTTTCCTCCACTAGACTGCAAACACCCTGCTCACCACTGTATCTCAAGACCAGTGTTTGGTTCAGTCTGCCCTCAAATATGTTGGTCAATAAGTAAATGAAGGAATACTGCTTTCTTCAATGGGCAGAATCATAACTGTGCCTAGGCTGCCATTTCTCCTCTCCATTCTTACTTCAGCTTGATTTGTCACTAGTTATAAACTGTCTCAATTACCTGACAATTTTCAAACTTACTAGACCAGAGTGTGAATTCTTCTCTCTAGGATACTGGATGCAGGTATCATTAAGAATCTGGGGGTGGGAGGGACAGCCGAGTGGCTCGTTGGTTAAGAGTTGGCTTAGGAGCTTGAGCTCTGAGCAGGAGAGCCACCGGTTCGGATCCCACATGGGCCAGTGACACTGCGCCCTCTACAGCTAAGATGGTGAACAACAGCTCGACCTGGAGCTGGGCTGCCGTGAGTCGCTGGTGACAGCGTAGGCTGCAGTGGGGCTGAAGTGGGCTGCCATGAACTACCGTGAGTGTCCGGCAGCCAGCGTGAACTGCCAGCAGCTGGCGTGAGCAGCCGTCCAATGGCCGGCAACCAATCTGCCTCACCCGGGAAGAGCGCAATGAAAATACCAACATAGGCCAGTGAAGCGACGTCCTCCACAACTAGACTGAAGAACAAAAGGACAGCAACTTGTCTGTTCCCCTTCCCCCAATTCCCCAGTGCTGTTCCCATCCCCCAATTCCCCAATTAAAAAAAAATCTTAAAAAAAAAAAATCTAGGGGGAAGGTTAGAAAAGCAGCCCCCACATTTCTTAAAATGCCTAAGTGCTGCTGAGTATTCTGTCTTCAAACAGTCTCAACCATGCATAGTTGCTTCTCAAAATAGGGCTAGTCCACAAATCAGGTATTCTGGACATCACCAACTCCAGAGTGCACTCATGTATATACTTAAATGTATAAGTCAGACTACCAGACTTAAACCATCCAGTCATCACATTTTAAATACCTATGAATTAAAGGTGACAGAAGTCAGAAAAGTGGTCAGATCTGTTAGAGACTAAAAAAATTAACTAGTAATAGGGACAATAACAATAAACCCCCAAAAATGAGATAATTATTATTAAACCCTGGGAAAGAACAAAAGTTGTACAAGAAAGCATAGCAGTATACTAAGTGGCTCAATAATAAATAATCTTTAATACAATAAATAAGGAATATTTATCTAACTAAAACTTGTGACATAACTATATTAAGAGGGCTTGATAAGGGAGGGCAATTAAGAGAGAATATTTATTATTTAGAAATATGGTAGTAAATACAAGAGAAAGACCAAAAAGTTTAAAGCAGTTGCCTACTGGGAGAAAGACTTGGTAGTAGGAAAGAGTAAATAGTGGATTGCTGATTTTCATTAAAAGCCATAGTAGTATTTGACTTTTAATATAAAATTCATGAGAAGAGACAAAGTGATTAATTTGATAAAACATTTAGTAATTTTATAAAAAGGATATACAGATATTCTTTGACTTATGGTGGAGTTACATCCAGATAAACCCATTTTCAGAAGTTGAAAATACTAAAAAGTCAAAAATGCATTTAATACACCTAACCTACCGAACATCAGTTTAGCCTGGCCTACCTTAAATGTGCTGAGAACACTTACATTAGCCTATAGTTGGGCAAAACCATCTCTCTACTGCTGCTCATCATCATAAGAGAGATCATATGGCATATTGCTAGCCCAAAAGAGGATCAAAATTCAAAGCGGTTTTTACTGAATGTTATCCTTTTTGCGCCATTGTAAAGTTGAAAAATTGTAGGTTGAACCATTAAGTTGGGGACTGTCTGTACTCCTCAAAATACCCCTTGTTTCCCTCAATAGGTTATTTGTTATAAAATATACCATTTCAGTAATGTTTAAAAACCTAAGGGAGATGGGAGGAGAGGCAGCAAAAGTGAGGTAGGTGTGACTAACATGAGGCACCTTTGTGGTAATGGAACTCTTCCGTTATCTTGACTGTGGTGGAAGTAAAATTGCATGAAACTAAATATACATGCTCATAAATGGGTACAAGTAAAACTCGGGTAATTTGAACAAGATAGGTGTAGTTTATCAATGTCGATATCTGGTTGTGATATTGTACTGTAGTTCTGCAAGATGTTACCAGTGGAGAAAATTGGGTAAAGGATACAAGGCATCCCTCTGTATTATTCTTTTATTAAAAAAAAAATTTTTTTTTAATTGGGAGAGGGGAACAGTGTTGGGGAATCAGGGAAGGGGAGCAGACAAGTTGCTGTTCTTTGGTTCTTCAGTCTAGTTGTGGAGGACATCGCTTCACTGGCCCATATTGGTATTATCATTGTGCTCTTCCCGGGTGAGGCAGATTGTTTGCCGGCCTCTGGACGGCCGCTCATAGCTGCTCTTGGTAGCTCACACTGGCTGCTGGTTGCTCTCGCTGGCTGCTGGCCACACACAGTAGTTTATGGCAGCCCACTGCAGCAGGGGCTGCAGCCTACACCGTCGCCTCACGACATCCCAGCTCCAGGTTGAGCTGTTGTTCACCATCTTAGCTGTAGAGGGCGCAGTGTCACTGGCCCTCAGGTGGGATCTGAACTGGGGCCCTTCTGCACAGAGCTGGCGTCCCAAGCCAGCTATTAACCAACGCGCCACTCGGCCGGCCCTGTATTATTCTTACAACTCCAATGATCTCAAAATAAAAAGGTTAATCAAAAAACACAAAAGCCTCTTGACCTTATTTTTATTTTTAATGTCTACTACCTTTAGGGATAACACACTTTATTTAGTGTTGATAAGAGCAACCCAATAATTAAACCCTCCGTTGGGTGCAACTAATCTCACAGGTTCATTGCACACAAAGATGCTGCTATGAAATACGTCTTTTGGGCCGGCTGAGTGGCGCGTTGGTTAAGAGCTGGCTTGGGACACCAGCTCTGAGCAGAAAGGCCCCGGTTTGGACCCCACCTGAGGGTCAGTGACGCTGCGCCCTCTACAGCTAAGATGGTGAACAACAGCTCGACCTGGAGCTGGGCTGCCTTGAGTCACCAGCGACAGCATAGGCTGCAGTGGGGCTGGTCGGCAGCTTGCGTGAGCTTTCGTGAGCTGCTGTCCAATGTCCGGTGAGCAACTGCCTCACTCGG